CAGGTTAACATATCAAGCCACAGCCAGCTAACACCCAAAATTAATCAGAATATAACATTGCACAACTTTAATCAAAGCTGTAACATAGTACGGGGGAAAACTAAAAGCAGACGATGTTATTTGATCAAGCAGATGGCATTACAGAGGTGTTCTCATACAAATCTACAAGAAACCAATTACACTTCCAAGTGACAAAAAAAAGGAACAAGGCAAACCAAAGGATATCTATCATGAAGGCAACATTCTGCAACGGAAAACTGTGACTACAAAGTTCACCATCCTAACTTGGAATCATTAAATTGGGACATGAAACTTTTTTTTTGAAGTTATGTATATTCACAAAAATTTGATGTTGCTCACCCTGAAGCTCTTGTATGGTTGTGATCTACTCTACCGCTTATTTCGACTGGTTATATAGTTGAGTGCCAGCCTAGAGAACCGGGTGATAGTGAAAAACATTTGCCACAGAGCACGGCCCTTCACAATCCCCTCCCGTATGCCTCTTGCAGTTCTAGCCAAAACTGGCCCTGGAACCTCAGTTTTCGGACTGGCCACCTCCTGCACCGATGCTAAGCAAGTAAAGATGAATTTTACATTCATTGCTCCAAAACCCAATTGAAAACTAAAGGTAAAACAACAACAACCAAAAAAAGACTATAGAAGACATGGATAACCTGATGGAGCCATGTTTGTCAAGCGGCGCAACCTCTCCTCTGCCACGCGAACAGCTCGAGTGGAACTTCTAACACCCTGTGTAATTTCCTGGCTGCACCACAAACCAAATGAGTCAGCTGATAATGAGTTAATTAAAGATATCTTCCATTTAGCTTGAGACAAGCATATAAGAACTTTGAAATGGTAATGCCAACCCAAGATCACTGAGCTCCATAGTGAGGTCACTGATCTCCATCCCGGATAAACGAACAGCAGCCATTGTGTCAGGAAGCTCTTCCCTAATAACATCCATCAGCTTTTCAAGTGATTGAGCTGCCCTCTTGAAAGCCTTTAGAAAACCACATTGGAAATTCACTTTACTAACAGCGATTGCTCAAGAAAAACATAGCCAATTTCCAATGCTGATTAAAATCAAGTATTCAAGACTACAAACCAGAAGCGCGGGGATTGCAGAGCAGAAGAGCCACGTCGCAGAAACTGCTGCCTATTAAAAAACCCCAAAAACCAAAAACAAAACTTGACTCAATAGCACCACCAATTTCTGTAATTCTTTCAAAAAATGTTAGCTGAGATTGTTGGGTTTTGCTTTCAGAATACCCTGAAGAAAAACCCACCTTGAAGAATCTAATTTCCAAAGCATATTAAACTTCAATCAGAAACAGAACTATGCTTCCAAAAGCATAAATAGTATATTAAAAATCTAGAGAGAGAGAGAGTTACGGCGCAAGCAACGACATTGAGCAAGACGATGTGGCG